CTCCAAAAAAAAAAAAGAAAAAAAAAAAAGAAACACTACTTTAAGATTTCCTATGTTCAAATTTCATTGACATGCAAATATACAAGGTGCTTAGGGTTGGGAATTTCTTGATGAGTCATTGCTTCCTATATTTAGTGGTGAGCAAGTGTAATGGTAGCCCCTAACAAAGAAGTTCTGCTCCTTCCTTTAGACTTCCTTGCCGCAGTGGACTCCTGGTTCAAGGTTTTGCTGCCCAAGATATATCCATGGCTTTACCACAATGGGGGCAACATTATTAGCATTCAGGTACAAGGGGGATGTGACTGGGGCAGGGGAAGGAGGTGCAAGGGGCTCTTTATCTCCACCCCATAGCTGGGCTCCACTTTCCCTTCCCTCTGGCAGGTGGAGAATGAATACGGTAGCTATGGAGCCTGTGACTCCAGCTACATGAGGCACTTGGCTGGGCTCTTCCGTGCATTACTAGGAGAAAAGATCTTGCTCTTCACTACAGATGGGCCTGAAGGACTCCAGTGTGGCTCCCTCCAGGGACTCTATACCACTGTAGATTTTGGCCCAGGTCTCCTAAGCAAGGGCTGGGAGTGGGGTCTGGGGAAGGGACGCCTCTTCCACGATATTTGTCTTTTTCTTTTCTCTTTTTTCCACAGCTGACAACATGACCAAAATCTTTACCCTGCTTCGGAAGTATGAACCCCATGGGCCATTGGTGAGGGACCGGAGAGGAATCAGAGAATCAGGGATGGGAATGGGTCCAGCTCAGTTCCATCTCACTCACAGCTCCTTTCATTTCACACTCTAGGTAAACTCTGAGTACTACACAGGCTGGCTGGATTACTGGGGCCAGAATCACTCCACACGGTCTGTGTCAGCTATAACCAAAGGACTAGAGAACATGCTTGAGTTGGGAGCCAGTGTGAACACGTAACTAAAGACACCGGGGCCAGTATAACTCTGTAGCTGGGAGTTGGGGATGAAAGTTAAGATTCAGTGAGTCGGCTTTTACCTTTTCCCCCACCCTCCCTCACTTCAGGTACATGTTCCATGGAGGTACCAACTTTGGATATTGGAATGGTGAGTCCAAATGGTCCCTGGGATAGAAGCAGGGAGGTAACAGAGAATTAGAATCTAAGGGCTAGGTGAATTAGCATGTCTAGAAGCTGAATATGGCCACCACTGCCCCCTCTAATAGCAAAATTCCTCTGCATGAAGCATGCTTAGTAGTGCCTGTCATCTGAAATATATGTTGAATTAATTATATTGGCTCAACTTCAGGTGCCGATAAGAAGGGACGCTTCCTTCCAATTACTACCAGCTATGACTATGATGCACCTATATCTGAAGCAGGAGACCCTACACCTAAGCTTTTTGCTCTTCGAAATGTCATCAGCAAGGTACCCTACCACTTCGTTAAGCTCCAAAGGCTTTTATTAATGTGGGGGGAGTGCCCACATTGTAAAGGGATCCCATGAATTGGTAGTTATTGTCTGGGCCACAGCTCAGCATCTCACTGAAGCATTTCCCATTCACCCAAACGGGACTATGTGCAAAGAAACACGGGTGTGCAAAATAGAGCCTTCATGACCCCTGAAGCCCTTCCCTGGGCCCCAGGTTAAGAACTCCCTAGAGTCTTGGAATAGGTATTGTTGTCTGTGGTTTCCTATGGCTTCTGAGAGAATTTGGGCTCAGTTCCAGGAAGTTCCTTTGGGACCTTTACCTCCCCCCAGCCCCAAGATGATGCTTGGACCTTTGACTCTCCACCTGGTAAGTTCCTCCACATCTTTTCTCTGATACCACACCTTTGTTTTCTGAATAGCCTGTTCTTTCTTGTCCTCTATCCAGAAACTTCCCTTATATTCTGATTCTTCTCCCTTATTCTAATAGGTTGGGCATTTGCTGGCTTTCCTAGACTTGTTATGCCCCCATGGGCCCATTAATTCAATCTTGCCAATGACCTTTGAGGCTGTCAAGCAGGTAAGACATAAACCCACATCTGGTGGAGATGACAACCTCCCTGAGCAGCTACAGCCAAAAGTTCCTTGGCTATAACCACAGTGTCCTTTTGTATCACTATTTGTCTGAAGTACTCATTCTTCCATACCCAGGACCATGGCTTCATGTTGTACCGAACCTATCTGACCCATACCATTTTTGAGCCAACACCATTCTGGGTGCCAAATAATGGAGTCCATGACCGTGCCTATGTGATGGTGGATGGGGTGAGAACCTAATTCCAGGCTGTGAGCTCTAGTTTCCTCCCTTCCCCAGGAAGTGTTAGCCTTAAGTTCTCCATATTTACCCTTTCCCACCTGCCTGCTCACATTTGCAGAGGGTTCCAGGGATAAGGTGGGATGAGGAAGAGTTTGATTAAGGATAGAGTTCTAGAATAGACAGCTACATTCTCTCTGTCCTCCAAATAAGTGTCCTAATGTGGTTTCCTATGCAGTGGCTAAGAGCTAGATGCTGAGCCTTGCACCTATCCTATCTCCTATCCACAGGTGTTCCAGGGTGTTTTGGAGCGAAATATGAGAGACAAACTCTTTCTGATGGGGAAACTGGGGTCCAAACTGGATATCTTGCTGGAGAACATGGGGAGGCTGAGTTTTGGGTCTAACAGCAGTGACTTCAAGGTGAGCTAGCTTTGCCTAGTTATATCCCAGGACTTGATTGAGGATAGCTTGGACCCAGAGCTTAGTGAATGATGACTTATCATTTGCCTTCCCTACAGGGCCTGTTGGAGCCACCAATTCTGGGACACACAGTCCTTACCCAGTGGATGATGTTCCCTCTGAAAATTGATAACCTTGTAAAGTGGTGGTTTCCCCTCCAGTTGCTGAAAAGGCCACATCCTCAAGCTCCTTCTGGCCCCACATTCTACTCCAAAACATTTCCAATTGTAGGCTCAGCTGGGGACACATTTCTGTATCTACCTGGATGGACCAAGGTAATTGCTAATGGTGGTGGTTTGGGTAGCAGGGAGGCAAAAGAGAAAAATCACAGAAGGAAGGGAACAGACAGTATCCTTTGATTAGAAACCCAAAAGGATACAATTCTACCCCCGAAGAGCTGACCCTTTCTTTTCCCCCCTTTCCTGCTCCCTATTCCCCAGGGCCAAGTCTGGATCAATGGGTTTAACTTGGGCCGGTACTGGACAACACGAGGGCCACAACAGACCCTCTACGTGCCAAGATTCCTGCTGTTTCCTAAGGGAGCCCTCAACAAAATCACATTGCTGGAACTAGAAAATGTGCCTCTCCAGCCCCAAGTCCAATTTTTGGATAAGCCTATCCTCAACAGCACCTTGCACGGGCTACGTATCGATTCCCTCTCAGCAGATACACTGAGTGCTTCTGAACCAATGGAGTTAAGTGGGCACTGAAAGAAAAGTAAGCCGGGCGTGGTGGCTCACGCCTGTAATCCCAGCACTTTGGGAGGCTGAGGTGGGCGGATCACCTGAGGTCAGGAGTTCGAGACCAGCCTGGCCAACATGGTGAAACCCCATGTCTACTAAAAATACAAAAATCAGCCAGGTGTGGTGGTGGGTGCCTATAATCCTAGCTACTCAGGAGACTGAGGCAGGAGAATTGCTTGAACCAGGAGGCAGAGGTTGCAGTGAGTGGAGATCATGCCACTGCACTCCAGCCTAGGTGACAGAGCAAGACTCCATCTCAAAAAAAAAGAAAGGTAAATCCCTTGGACCCGGGACATGCAGTGGGCAGGATCCCTTGGTGCTGGCCACGGTGACCATAAGGAACTAAAGGCCACAATACCTCTGAATGTAAGTACAAGTACACATTCCTTGCCAAACTTTATTGTGATTAAAGTTCCAGAGACAATACCAGCTCCACATACCTTTGTGGCCCTGTCTTTGCCCTGGTTCCCGAGTGTCCTTCACCCCCATCTTCCAAATAATCTCTGGTTTCATGGGGAAGAAAAAACCTAGGGCTGCTGTGAATATGCCCTCTTAGGGCCCTGAGTTGGCCCCAAGTAGAGCTGTAAGAGATCAAGAAGAGGGCCTCCCTGCCTGACGGCGATGATCTTGGAGGCAATGTGTGGAGCAGAAAGAGAAGTCGAAGTAGTGAAAGGGAGTGAGGCCTTGGAGGGATGCCCCACAACTCCAGCAGCGTCTGAACAAGAGGAAGAAAAATGGCTGGACAGGTACCCCAGAAACTTTCCAATATAAGCTCTCCCCATCCCTCCTCCTGCCAGAACATCTCAAATACCCTCAACAGCCCTTCTGAATACTGTGCAGGCACTCAATTTACTTGTCCCCAGTGGTCCCTGCAACATTACAGCCCACCCATTCCTCAACCCCCTGCCCCATACCGAGCATTGACGATTGCAGAGTCAGGGATTGGAGGGGTAGGGGCTCCCAACTGAGCAGCAAGTCGGTGCTCTGCAGCTAGAGCTCTCTGAGGAAGAGAAGTTGTGTTAAGGACAAGCCCCCAGTGGTGAGTGGGGCACCCAAGAGGTGACATCTGCACGCTGGGGAAGGGATTAGACCTCTAAGGAAGGCTTGCTGTGGACAAGAGAACCTCCGGCCTCACCTTCTCTCGGTCACTGAGGGTGGCAAATCGCTGCTGCTCTTCTCGTTCCCGCTCCTCCTGTTCCTGCTGCCTCCGCTGCTGTTCCTCCCGATGCCGCCGGGCTGCCTTCTGCTCCCTTTTCCTTGTAGCCTGCCGTGCCTCCATTTCTGGTGTCAATGGTCCTGGCACCTGGAGGGTTTCAGATATAAGAATCTATAAGCTATCCTTGGTAAAACTGCAAGAAGTAGAAAGGATCTAGCCAGGATCTGTGAGGCCTTCCCACTCTGCTTCTCCTTCCTATTCCAGCTGACCTGAGCTTTGTTGTAATCATAGGCATTTGGGTTCTTCTCCATGAACCTTCGGAACTCATTACGTGTTGATTTGTCAGCCGCAACAGTATAAGGTGGCTGGGCCCGAGAGTCCCTAGGTGCAAAAACCCCAAAAATGGGTTTAACTTGCCTCCTGTCTTCCCAACATCACCTAACCAGACCAAGGGAATATTGTCAAGTAGCTAATGCCAACTTTAACCTCCAAAATATCCCCCCATACCCAAAATGACTCAGAATAGTGACCCTTACTCACTGCACAGTGGGGTCGGCACCTGCTTCCAGCAGCAGACGAACCACTGAGCCTCTTCCAGCTGCAGCTGCTGCATGCAGGAGAGTAGAGCCACCAGAGCCCAAGGGGGCACTGAGCAGAGACAGAACTCCAGGGTCTCCAGGGCTGGGAGCCAGCTGGAGCTTCAGCACTCCAACATCTCCAGCTCGGCAGGCAGCAAGCAGCACATCCCAGAGCTCTGGCTGACCAGGGGCTTTGGCCTCATCCAGCAAAGGGCCCAAGGGGGTGGCAACTGCCTGGGATGACTGTGCAGAAGGCTCCTCTTGAGGTTGCTGGAGAAGAGTAATATGTGCCCCAGCCTCCTGGTCCCGGCTTTTCTCCTTCTTATTCCTTTTTCTCCTCCTCCGCTTGGGGAATACTTCAGACTCACAAAGATCCAGAGTCCCCAAGGTCAACTCCACTAGCTCCAACTCTATCTGGAAGCCATCTTCTCCCTCTGACTGTGAACCTAGGGAAAAACCCAACATGTGAAATCCAACTAGGGAGTACTCAGAGGGTGGAAGCAGATGCCTCCAATGCATAAGAATGAAAACCTGAAATGAAATTGTTTTTATTTTGTCACCCAGATAAAGTAGCACATGAAGAGCTGAGTCCATTATATCACATGCAGAAAGCAGGCTCTCAGCCCAGACAAGGACAAGAGTCCCTGGATTCTCCCCATGAGCAGCCTTAGGATGCTGCACAATAGAGGAAAGCATAGAAGCGCCCTCAACCCAAACCAGAGCATCCAACGCAAGATCAACTACGTGAGATCCACGCAACACATCCACACAACTGCTCCATGCAAAGACTTTTCTAAGCTCTCGGGAAACATCCATAATAAAAGAAATATTGATAGGGCGCGGCGGCTCATGCCTGTAATGCCAGCACTTTGAGAGGCCAAGACAAGTGATCACCTGAGGTCAGGAGTTCGAGACTAGCCTGTTCCACATGGCGAAACCCCGTCTCAACTAAAAATACAAAAATTACTCAGGTGTGGTGGCGGGTATCTGTAATCCCAGCTACTAGGGAGACTGAGGTGGGAGAATAGCTTGAACGCAGGAGGCGGAGGTTGCAGTGAGCTGAGATCATGCCATTGCACCCCAGCCTGGGCAACAGAGCAAGACTTCACCTCAAAAAAGAAAAAAAAAGAAAGATAATAGATTTGGAAAGGTCATTAAACATGCCTCAGTAATTGCTAAGATATAGACACTCTGTGGGTGTGTGTTTAAATAAGGAAATGGGTCGGTTATGAGAGCAGGGAATTTGCCACTGCATTTCTAGGACAGAAACTCAGATCTGACAGTTGCCAGATAGTAATCAAACCCTGTTTGGGAGATTCCTCATTCTGCCCAAGTGCTTCCTTTTCATCACTGCAGATCTTTATTGCTTCCTCAGTAGCCGCCTTCCTCTCCTCTCTTACTGTCTTCCAATGTGTCTGAGGTGAGTGCAGTCTGACCGCTTCCCGAGGATCTTCTTCTGCCATAAAACAAAAGATCTTTCTCAACCCTAGCTGAGGAGAAGCTAGTGCAGGTTTCTCTCAATGAAGATGTAGCTGTGCTGCAGTCCAAGGCTTAGAAAATCCTCTGGATATACCAATGAGAATGGAGGCTTAGGCTGGAGAGAACAGGAAGGTCTAGGGAATCGGGATCTGGAGCAAAGGCTCACCATAGACATACAAAGTAGTCAGCTTATGGAGCACACGCTGTAGCTCTTGAAAGGTGGGTCTGCGGGTGACGAGGGGGATATCCCAAAGTCGGGGATCCCCCCTTTGCAGTGGTGCCCCCTTGCCTCCAAAGAACAAGGACCGGCCAGAGCGGGGAGCATGCAACAGTATTGTATCAGCCTCCTCCAGTGCCTTAGCCCAGCCTGGCCCTGCCAGCAGGTCACGAACATCCTAGAAAAGAGAGTAACTCAGTCCTGCATACCTTTACTTGCTATTTTTAAATCTCCAACTAAAAAGATGGCCCACGGAAGTGCAAGGAGTAGAAAGAAGAGGATAACATGGAGGAAAAAATTAGAGGACTAAGGGAATCATCATGGGGAATCCTTAACCTGCCATTGTCTACCTATATGGAAAATTGGAAGGATATGAGTTAAAAACCTCCCTACTTAACAGTGAGTTGAACTGAGATGCCAAAAAGAATATATCAGGACTGCCAGGTCTACTCTAAGAGGCTTAACTCACCTTACAGAGTGTGGCTTCATTGTAGCGCCTCAGGTTGGCTCCAGCAGAGCGTGATGCCCCACCCTGGGCATCCCGAAGCCCCTGGGCTGTGCCCCGCTTGGCTCGCACCGTGTAGCGGTGAAAGGTTTTGTGTGTCACCACTTCTCTTCTGTAGACAGCACAGACTCAGTACTGGAAACCAGCTGGTGCTCCCTGGCTACCAGGATCCACTCCATCCTTACCCCCACGCAGCACCCTCTCACCCTTGAAATATAGCACCAGCAAAGTGCCCAGCTGCAGCCATGAGCACCACGCAGTCTCTGGGACCTCTACTTTGCAGGTTCTGTAGCAGGAGTTCTGCCTCTTCTGGGGGATCCTTGATGACAGAGAAGCATCAGAAACATATCTGTTGCATTCACTGACAGCAAGAAACCAAGTGCCATTTTTCACAAACATCATCTCATTTAATATGACCAAACTGAGGCTTATTTCCATTTGATAAAAAGGAAATTTGAGGCTTGAAGAGGCAGTCCAGAACCACAATTCTAACCTAAATTGGTTTGTTTCCAAACTTAATTCCATTATACTTAACCCTTCTACAGTTCAGGCCAGTTTCAATCCAAGACTGCATTGTCAAACATGATACCCACAATCAATAGGAAGAGAAGCAGTGAGCAATGTACTAGGCTAAGGGAAATCTAGGCTGGGTATACAAAAGGCTGGGGTTAGCCGTACAACCTGTACTGTCACTTGCCTGATGAGGGCCTAGGACACAGCGGTAGGCATAAAGAAACTGGCCCTGGGCATTCTGGAAAAGAACTCGATGAGGGTAAAAGCCTTGGGCTCGGTTGGGCTTCTCAAATCTAGCCTTCTCCTGATCCAGCATCTGCAAGTCCTCCTCGCTGGCTGAGTCTGAGTCTTCTGATCCTGAGATGCTGGAAAGATCTCCTGAAGACAGACAATAGGAGATACACAAGTTTTTGTTCTTTCCTCAAACTCTATAAACTAGTGCCTTCTTATACCTCCATGTCCTATTCCTACACAGGTTGCCCTACCAATCACCTGTGGAGCTCCGCTTTTCAAAGTCCAGGGCAGACAGGAGAGGCTTGTCCTTGAGACGCTGCTTTAGGTTAAACCGATGCCAGTCAAGCTTATAATGCTCCCTCTAGTACAAAGACAAAGAGTGAGATAAAGGTGGAAATATGCCCCAGCCTGACCTTGTATACTGGCCATATAGAATTCTAGAAGTACGATCAGGTAACACCGGCTACCTCAATCAAAGCATGGACCTTTATTGATTGATTGATTGATTGATTGGGACGAGGTTTCACCATGTTGGCCAGGCTCATCTCGAACTCCTGACCTCAGGTGATCCACCTGCCTCAGCCTCCCAAAGTGCTGGTATTACAGGCGTGAGCCTGCATGGACCTTTCTTAAGACAAATCAAATGTCTACCTCTCCCCACCCACCATTACGCTTTTGCTACTACCATCTAGCTCTGCACTTGACCTATTACCTGTTCTTGGTGGTTCTGGAAGGTCTGGTCACATGTTGAACAAAATAACTTCTCTGAAATAGCCATAGGACCCTGGAGTTGCTTTCTTTCTGGGCTTTCTCTCTCCGCTGAGCCTAAATAAGGAAACAGTAATTGGATGTAGAAAGGGAGCCTAAATCCACAGTGACAAGAATTATATTCAGTATGTGATATACAAAGCAGAGGATACAAAAAAGATAGCATGATACTGCCTTCAAGGAATTTACACTCTAGTAGTCATGAAATAAACAGTTCGGCAATCACTTAATGCAATAAACATGGCTCTGAAAAGATGTATGTAAAATGAGTATAAATAAAATATTGTATTTAAATTAGCCAAACAGATTGTTTAGGCAAATCCTATAGAAAATAATTTTGTTAAGTTTAAAATTATTTCTAACTGTACAAAGACCACTTCCCAAATACTTTCTAAAGTTTACATTTCCAATTAGTGTAGAGTTTGTCTAAAGAAAGGCACAAGAAAACATGGAGCCAAACTAAAGTTACACAAAACAGGCCCAGCACGGTAGCTCATGCCTGTAATCCCAGCACTTTGGGAGGCTGACGCAGGCAGATCACTTGAGGCCAGGAGTTCGAAACCAGCCTGGCCAACATGATGAAACCCCGTTGCTACTAAAAATACAATAATTAGATGGGCGTGGTGGTGCAGACCTGTAGTCCCAGCTACTTGGGAGACTGAGGCAGGAGAATCACTTGAGCCTGGGAGGCAGAGCTTGCAGTGAGCGGAGATCACACCACTGCACTCCAGCCCGGGCAACAGAGCGAGACTCTGTCTCAAAAAATAAAACTATACAAAACAAATTAATTGTTTTATATTCAGCAAAAAGGAATAATTTGAGTGGTGCCCAGTTAAATCTGGAATATATGTGAGAACTTTGAAAATATATCTAGAAAGTTTGAAGTGTTTTTGAAGCTAGTGGTATTAAAGTGAGGAGACATATGCAATAGCAAAAAGACTTGTTTGATAACAAGGGTTGTGCTGGAAATTACCCAGAGATTAAGTGAATTTAATCAAGCAGAAAGATAAATCATTTGGCCTCCTAAGCTCGGAAATACCAGTAAAAATATGTTCCCTGAACGGGCAATACACTCTAAGGAGCCTTGTCACGTTTCACATAGGTCCACTCCAAATCTTCCCGGATACCTGAACAGGAAGAACGCGGAGCACGGGCCAGAGCCTCCCCGGGCGCATGGCTCACCAGGCTCAGGCCCTGAAGGACCGGAGCATCCGCGCTGAGGTCAAACAGGAAGATGGAAGCAGGAGCCGAGGCTGCATCTGGAGCCGGCGACATGGCTGAGCAGAAATTATTTAGCAGCAGCTCCTGGAGCAGAAAGCGGATAAGAAACACAGCTTCCCCAAACGAGATCCTACTGCCGCGTCTCCTGCCTGCCTTCCTGACTTGGTTTCTCCTGCACCGCAAGGCTTCTCGTCCCTCATCCTGCTACCAGGAATCAGCTGTGAGATGACTACCTTGACCCCAGTCCGCTTTCTCAAACCCCCGTCTCGGCCCACAAAATAATTAAATATGGGGGAGCATCCAGCTCTCAAATGAGTCCAACAGAGTTAAAAATCACTGAGGTTGCCTAGCCGAACTTTATTCGTTACCCATGCGACCGGCAATGACTGACCCACAGCAACTCGCCCACGCCCTTAGAAGCCGCACCAAAAGTCCCGGGAGTTGAGCCGCACGCACGTCCACAAGTCTGCAGCCGGATTTCGGCAACACAACAATCCCCGTCACTACGGAGCAGCAAAGAGGACAACCGGTGGCGTCCGCACCTGAGCCCCGCCCCACGTAGAGCACACTATTGGGCCGCTGACGGCCTAAGACCCGCCTCGAGCCTTTAGCCCCGCCCCTTAAGCCGAGAATTGGCCGTTGTGTCTCCACCCCCTGTGCTTATTGGCCAGACTGGCTGCGGGTGACAGTGAGTGGCAGACACCGGGCCTAGCGCTCCGGGTCTGGCCGAGCCGAGCCGGGCCGGCGGAGCCCTGGAATCACCCGGGTCACTGTTCCTGAGGTGAGACGTGAGACCGGTTATTGGAATCCCAGGGCTCGTGTCTGGCTTTGCCAGGGGTGCCTGCAGAGCCCTAAGTGAGCTCGCGGCGGGTAACGGGGGAAGGGGCGCCGCTGGCGGGGCGGGGGCGCGCAGCCGGAATGTTTTGATTGCGGGCGCGCGCGGACGAGGGCGCGCGCGGGCGACGAGGCCGCGCGTGAGGTTGTCCGCTGTTGGTAGCTGGAAGCCCTTGGCCTGGGGCCGGGCGACCCTGGGGCGAGGTGGAGTGCAGTCGCCGCGGCTGGGTGTGGGGAGGCAAGCCAGCCCACCCAGGGTATCAGCTGTAGGGCTGGCTCGATCCCTGCAATATCCGCAGGAACCCCTGAGCCCAGGCCCAGCCGGCCGGGGATCCACGGGCCCTGGTCCACACTGACCCTGTGAGTGGTGACTTCCCTGAGGTGCAGGACTCTCACTAGCCCAGGGAATCCCACCGGGGCCAGCCTGGGCCAAGATCCACGGCCCGGAGGGGCTGCACGGACAGGTGAGTACCACCTCGACCATGCCTGGCTCCCACGAGGGAACCCACAAATGCCCCTAGGATCGGGGGTCTACACTTACCCCGTCAAGGTTTCCCATCCAGCAGCTATGCCCACCGGCTGGGTCTTTGGTGCTAGGGAAGCAGGAGAAGGGGTTGACCAGAAAGGTCCTCTTCAGGAAAGACTCTATTGGGGTTTTGTGGACCCTGAGAAGTATGTCATTTCTGAGGCTGAGGTGGGGCAATGGAGGAACAGTCCAGAGGGGCCCCTGGCCTCAGGCCTGTACCCACTTACTCTCCATGGGGTCCCTAAGTTACTTCTTGAGACCCCGGAATTGGAAGAGTGGCCCTGTTTAGCACGGCCAGAGGAAGTGCTCATAGTCCTGGCTGGAAGGGCGCTTCTTCCTCACTGCAGCCTTCCTGCCCCATGCTTGGCCTCCTCTTGTTGGGGTGTGGATGGTTGGGAGGGTCGGGTTCCTTTTTAATCCCCACTCTCTGGGTCCTGACATCTTCTCCAGGAGCTGCAGAGCATCGAGGGCTGGAGTGGAGCACGCACTGTCCATGGAGCTGGTAGGGCCATGTGCTTTTCTCAAATGTTTGTTTACAAAGTGCTTCCAAATTGCTGGTCTCTTGGGAGACCAGGGTTCCCAGGATGGGCAGGGGAGGGCCTCTTCTGTCCATTAATTAGAAGATGAAACAGCCCCCAACAAAGGGGCCGATTCTGGATTTGGGCCAGGAAGGCAGCAGTAGACACCCAGACTGGCCAGAGTTAAGGCCTCCCAAGTCTTGAGCTTATGGCCTTCCTTGTATTACTACTCCTCTTCCTCTGAGCCAAGGAGGCTGAGGGTGGAGACAAAGCCAAAGGGTACTTTCTCAGTCCTTTTGGCAGTAGGTAGGGCAGCCAGGGGCAGCACTGGGACTGAATCAGGGTCTCTTCTTCCTCCTCATTGGCAGGTGGTCAAGGTGGACAGGGGGTGGTGGTGATGGCGCAGTTTGATACTGAATACCAGCGCCTAGAGGCCTCCTACAGTGATTCACCCCCAGGGGAGGAGGACCTGTTGGTCCACGTCGCTGAAGGGAGCAAGTGTGAGTTCTTGGACATGCCAGCCAAGGGGAGAGTTGGTGGAAGAGCACTGAGGGAGCAAGGGGCTTGTGTTGCCTCAGAGCTCTGATATCTCTTTTCCTGTGCCCACAGCACCTTGGCACCATATTGAAAACCTTGACCTCTTCTTCTCTCGAATATCCTTTGAGTCTCTGAGTTGGAGCTCAGGGACCTTTAATGTCTCTCTAAGCCAGGTCTCTGGTGGGAAGCGGGGGTAGGTTTGACTAATCCCTGGAAAGGGTAATGGAGCTCATCCTGAGGGTGAAAGAGGCTGGTGAAATCATCGTTAAGTAATGATAGCCCATATTTACCAAGATCTGTGTGCCTGTGTCCACTCTGTGGTGTTAATTTATAGAAACCTTCCTAAGGGTGAGCCTCCTTTTTTTTTTTTTTTTTTTTTGAGATGGAGTCTCTCTCTCTTGCTGCTGGAGTGCAGGGGGCAATCTCAGCTCACTGCAACCTCCACCTCCCGGATTCAGGCAATTCTCCTGCCTCAGTCTCCCACATAGCTGGGATTATAGGCAAATGCCACAATGCCCAGCTTTTTTTTTCATAGAGACAGGGTTTCACCATGTTGGCGAGGCTGGTCTTAAACTCCTAACCTCAAGTAATCCACCCACCTTGGCCTCCCAAAATATTGGGATTACTGGTATGAGCCACCACAGGTTGTTAATAATCGTCGTAAGTAATGTCTTTTGACTCATTCTGTGTCAGCTCTATGTTAAATACTTTATATGCATTATCTCAGGTCTACTAGTCCTGAGACAAGTGTTATTTATTCCTAATGTACCACTGGGGACACAAGTTTACAGAGGTTAGGTAAGTTGGTAAAGTCACAGAGCTAGGACTTAAACTTGAGTGTGTTGACACCAAAGTCTGTGCTCTTACCTGCTGTCTTTACTGACCACTTTTTCTTAACAATTACACGTTTATAATCTACACCAGAAGAATGGCTTCACTTGTATGCTTATCGGGGAGATCTTTGAGCTCATGTAAGTATAAGAAGGGACAGATGATGTGGTGAAGGAATACATCTTAGTCTTTCCTTGCACTCATGCCTGGCCCAACCTGCTAATGCAACTCAGTCCTATGCTAAAACTCAGCAGACCTTTGTAGTTCAGGGACTGGGTGTAGCGCCAAAACTCACAGCTTCACCGTTTTTTTTGTTGTTGTTTTTTTTGTTTTTGAGATGGAGTGAGTCTCACTTCATGGACCAGGCAGGAGTGCAGTGGTACCATCGTAGCTCGGTGCAGCCTCTGCCTCCCAAGTTCAAGTGATTCTCCTGCCTCAGCTTCCTGAGTAGCTGGGACTACAGGCGAACACCACCATGCTCGGCTAATTTTTTAAAATTTTTAGTAGAGATGGGATTTCGCCAAGTTGGCCAGGCTGGTCCATGCCCGGCTAATTTTTTTGTATTTTTAGTAGAGATGGGATTTTGCCAAGTTGGCCAGGCTGGTCTCCTGACCTCAGATTATCCGCCTGCCTCAGCCTTCCCAAGTGCTGGGATTATAGGTGTGAGCCACCATGCCCAGCCAAGCTTTCTTATAAGAGCTTTCTAAGCTGTATCTCTTCCATGAAGAGAACCCAGGCCTTGGCTGGGTGTGGCGGCTCACACCTGTAATCCCAGCACTTTGAGAGACGCTAAAAATATAAAAATTAGCTGGGTGTGGTAGGTAGTGCACACCTGTAATAATCCCAGCTACTTGGGAGGCTGAGGCCCAAGAATCACTTGAACCTGGGAGGTGGAGGTTGTAGTGAGCCGACATCATGGCACTGCACTCCAGCCTGAGTGACAGACTGAGACTCTCTCAAAAAAAAAAAAAAAAAAAAAAAAGTTCAGGCCTTGACCTTGATCATTTCAGTGCTCCAATGGAATGTACATGGTTCAGTCAGGGAGTCTCAGAGATGCCAGCCACAGAGAAAAGCCTCTTCTGCCTTGGCTGTACCATGGCCTGCTCCTAGGCAGACAGCCTCCTGGGAGAGAGAAGTCATATAGCATTGCCAAAGGGAAAGGGGTCAGGAGGTTCTCCCTCAATCAGAAAACTCCCCCAAGGGCTTTTAACTACAACCTCAAAAGGAAATCAGGGACTGGAGATCAGAGACTCACAGGATGTAACCTTTGAGAGTCCAGTGATAGTGACTGAGGTTACCATGAGGTGATGAAAGCAGGCTGTGGCTGTGGCAGCTAAGAGCAAAGAGTGAGCCTGAGATGGGCCTGAGCCCCTGAGTGAGCCTGAGGCCCTATGGGGCTGAGCAGCAGAGAGGGCCCACTGGGAGTTCTCCAGCCCCTTCCAGTTCCCAGTCTTGTTCTGCCACCTCCAGACTCTGCTCTTCCCACCGTGTTTCACTGAGTCGTCTCTGGCTCTCAGACTGTACCCCTTCTTCCCAACTCCCCAGGCAGTTCCTGTTTGTGGTTGCCTTCACTACCTTCCTGGTCAGCTGCGTGGACTATGACATCCTATTTGCCAACAAGATGGTGAACCACAGTCTTCACCCTACCGAACCCGTCAAGGTCACTCTGCCAGACGCCTTTTTGCCTGCTCAAGTCTGTAGTGCCAGGTAAGGGCTGCAAGTCAAGAGGACACCATAGCCTTGAGTTCTGCTAGCAGGTGGGTAACAGAGTAGAGTCTGAGGCAGCAACTCATGCTCGAGAACTGACTCAGGCTCAGTCTAGCAAAAATACTTCAGGAAAGCAGTGTCTCTGCCAAGACTCCTTCCTCAAGGGCCACCTCTCCTCCCCTTCTTTTTCCCCACAAGGATTCAGGAAAATGGCTCCCTTATCACCATCCTGGTCATTGCTGGTGTCTTCTGGATCCACCGGCTTATCAAGTTTATCTATAACATTTGCTGCTACTGGGAGATCCACTCCTTCTACCTGCATGCTCTGCGCATCCCTATGGTAAGACTGGGAAGTTGGGCAATTAGCCCGTAGTCTAAGATGTATTGGGCGGTATGGTTGTATTCCTGGCCGTCAGTTGTCCTTATCTGTCATTGGCAGGTCAGGAAGTGTCTCTTAAGCTCACAACCCCTGAACCTCACTTCTAATATAGGTCAAAGGGGTCAAGGCAACAACCCCACCTTCCACACCTTGTCTCTTTTCCCCACCCCCGCAGTCTGCCCTTCCATATTGCACGTGGCAGGAAGTGCAGGCCCGGATTGTGCAGACTCAGA